GAAAAACTGTGGGTGAAGGAGGAAAGAGCTCTTCTCTAAAGACCTAGGGACACTTCCTTGTACTACCTTTCTAGAATTCATTTGTCTTTTTGCATTATTTCTTCATCATGTGATGTATTTCTTACAACTTTTTTCCTTAGTACCCTTTTACTTTTCTTTTCTGTCCTCTTCTGTCACACAGCCTCATCTCCTATACCTTTCCCTCCTACTGGTACCTCCTTTTTGTCCTGTGTGGGAAATGATTCACCTCCTTCACCCACCAGTACCCAGCCTGATGTTTGGTCTAGCACAGACCCCGTAAAGGTCATGTTGTTGCCACCTTTCCTAAGTGACCAGGCACAGCATGTTAGTGTCCGGGGACCCTTTCGCCTCTTCTGCCAAGCCACAGGTAAGTTGAAGGACCCTGTATAAGCACCATTTTTCTGCATTAAAGGCGTAACTATGTCACCGCGTACTGTGTATGCTTTACCTTTGTGATGCTTTGGGCGGGGGGAAAAGGGAGAAGAAGGATGATTTCAGGATGTCACACACTGTTAGCAGGAATCAGTCACTGTAAATGCTGCACTGCACAATGGAGGCTCTGGTTTAGCAGCCTGCTGTAGTATGTTGATTTTGTTAGCCTCACTTACACTGAATCAGGGTTGTATATGGATGTTTAGCAGGTAGATATTTTATATTTTCATTGTTGATATATAATGCCATTTGAAAAATACACTTCTATTGGATTTGAATTCAGCATGTTTTCTGGACCAGGTCAGTTATTTCTTTTTTTGTCTTACTTCAAATGGTAAAGTAATTACCAGTAACAGGAACTTCGATTTTATGATGAACATAGTATCTGAGGTGTACAGGAAAAGGACAAAGCTCTTTTTCTCTGTAGAAATTCAACACTTAACCTTCCAACTGTTGGTTAGATGCGTAAAAATTACGATTTATAATTGCCAGTTTAAGCTAGGTGTGGTTTAATGGATCTAAACAGGTCTTCCGATGTAACCTTATTCTGTACAGGAAGAGATTATATAGACTGAGTAATTTTTAAAAGTAGTATTGTTTCATATTGGTATCTCTGTTCATGTCTTAACATTACATGGAGTCAGAGCAAAATGCATAAATCTTTATTAGTGTAGGGCATAACAAAGGCATTATTTGGTTTTCCATGACTAGAAAGAACAACACTGAGATGATGATTATTTCATTGAATAGAGTAATTTAGATTGGAAAGGACTTTTCAGCAATAATTCATTGATTTTTTGCTATAAACGGTGCAGAAACTTCATTGTCCGTGGTGGGAAAAAATTGTAACGATAGCATAAATAGCACAAAGATTCAAACAGTTTGATAACTGTCCTACAGACCTGGAATTTATTTTGAAATTACACCTGTTTTAACATGATGTTCATGCTGCTTTTAAAAATTGTCAGTAATTGTATTTGCCTTGGCAGTGAACTTAAGAAGGAAGGAACAGTGTCTTAAAGTCAGCCTGTGGAATTCACTCCTCTGGAGGCAGGAGTGAACAGTGGAAGAAACTAAGAAGCACCAAACATCTGAGAGGTGTAGTGGTGGCACAGGCAGGGCCAGCGTGGCCCAGCTGTGGAAGCATTCTGACTCCTCTCAGAGAGCAGTGAAGAACTGGACTTTGTATTGTGGATGGGGGTTTTATTGCCCTTGGGAAACAAAGCAATTGGCTGATACATCATACCCTCCTCTTACCCAGATTTACAACTTCAGTCTGTTGATTTGAAATAAACAGACAAATGCAAAGCAGCATAACAAACTGACAGGGATATTTTGTGTCTGTCTGAGACCTGCATGTCAGTCAGGATGTCTAACTTTATCCTGGGTGGGGTGTCTAAGCAAGTGCTTTTGCTGGGAAGCTGTCTAAGCTGTCTGCTTACATTTATTCACATTTCTTCAGTGTTCTTCTCTTGATAAATACCACATTTATGTAAACATAGCTGTAATGGAACTTGATTTCCCTCAGCTATGCATACAAGGTAAAACGTTCACAAGGAGCAGAAAGGTTAAATGAGACTGGCAGAGAGTGAAATGTTGTGCCTGGTTGTCCACATAAAGGATGTGGTATCCACAAATGTATGGTGTAAATGCATAGATTATCACATCACCCAGTCAAATACCCCAAGCATATTTTAAATATAAGTTTGTAACACTATGAGAATTGCTCAATCTCTTTGTAAAAATTTTTTAATTGTAAATGTCTGTTTCAAGCTGTCTGGAAACTCAGCAGGAGTTGGTGAGTTCTTTTGTTCATCCCTTACTCATCCCACATCTGTTAACCTGAAAGCTCACCCAGAGATAACACTTTACAACCTTGTAATTGGCTCATTTTGGTGACGTGACGTTAGCGTGGATACAGCACAAACAGCCACTGGTGACATACTGTCACTCTGAAAAATTAGGTTTTCAAGAATGGAATACTCCTGCCTTTCCTGAAATGGAGGGAATAAATCTCCCTTTGTGAATTTCCTCCCAGTTGCTCTCCCCTGAGGTGTGTCTGATCATGTTTCTCCAGGGCCATGTACGCTATATGTTCACAGGCAAATGTTAGCTCTCCTGTGTACTTCTTGTAATAAACTTCTCTCATTAAGGAATATTTAAACCCTTTAAAGACATTTGAGGCAAGCTTCAAATAAATTGTACAAAATACTACACCATCTGGTGCAGAGGAGAGACAGTGAGCTGATGATTTATTCACTCACCTGCCTTATAATTTCTCTGGTGTGCTCCGTTGAAATGAGGTGTAGTATGAACAGGCTTTTCCTAGCAGTTTTGGTTCTGCTTGAAGATGTTTTACTGACACCTCCTTCCTCAGCTTTAGCATAGTATATCCTTGTCGGTAAATTCACACACAAGTGACATATTAAAATACCTCAATTAAGATGAGCAACAATATAAATGCATTTATAGTCAGAAATAGTGCAACATACTATGCTTTATTTATATTTCTGTCCTGCAGATTCAGACTCTCTCAGTGTCCTTAGTGTCACTGAGTCTCTCTGCCTCCCTTAGTTTGTCTGTAGCTGGAGTTTTTACATCATGGGTTCTTTTCAGTCTTGGTAAAATAACCCCAGGTGTGTCAGTGAGGAAGTTCTGTGAACTCAGCAATACACTTTAAAAGAGTTATTGCATTAAGATTCTGTGATGGGTATCTGATAACACCCACATACAGTGCCTGTTCCCTGTGGTTATGTGCTAATAAAGGGAGTACAAGAAGACTTCCCACATCTGTGCAGGAAAAGATCTGTAACTTGCAATAATCAGAATTGCAAGTGGTTTACTAG